ATATTGTTTCTGTGAAGGCATATCAGCCTTTCCAGATTTTTCGTTTTTACTCAATTTATAAGAAGTCCTTTGGCTATCATAAAAATAATCGGTAACACAAACTGAAGCTATCAAAAAACAAAAGTTTGGGGTGGTTATTTCACTAATAAATAAGTCATTTTTTGAGAAAATTTGAATGGTAACTTGACTTTACAAGAACCACACAGTGTGAGATAATGGATATCCAGCCCATTCAACCAGAGATAGTTCACAGTGGTTCAATAGGAAATTTGTTTTTCTTAGGAATGGGCATCTAAGAAGTGTTTTCAGAGGTTGTAAAAATGTAAAATAAAAGTCAAATGAAAAGTTCATCCGGCTGCATTTCATTTGCAAAAAAATGTATAACTTAATATCATGGCAACGTAATATAAATATTTTTGAACGGTATATTTATAATGTTGTTCAAATATCTAAAAAGATCAGCAGCCTAAGTCCACTTAGTTACTTGAAATATTTGGAAAATGAATAAGGACAGTATTTGGTTCATGTTCATTCCACCAGTGATATTTCTCAAGGACTGAAAAAAAAATTAAAAGTAAACGGTTAAGACGATATTCCGATCCACGCTGTCATTTTCTTTTCGCGGACCGCTCCATACGGAAGCAGTGAGACTGTGTAGGGTCCAGGGTTCTTGCCCCTGGACATTTTTGGGATTTTGCTTGATTGTTTTTGAATGTCTTGAATGGAAAGAATATTTAATTGGTTCGAATCGTGTAGAAACGTCAACGCGATTTTTGAATCAATAACTTTGTTTTGATTCGATACTCCGAAAAGCAACACGTAGAGCATGTAACTTCTGTATGTGTGGTAGTATTATGTCAGTGTTAATCTTGTTTGTTAATTTTTTGTTAACTTCGCAGATGTATAAAGCTGATGGTTACACTCTGTCACAAAAAATCGATTAATCGAAAATACTCTGACTGAATACCACCAACATAGGTATCTGATCTCTCTCAGTAACTGTTTCACATCAGGATCTACTAATGTAATAATATCCCGGAGTTGAGAATATTCTCTATTTCAGCAAATAGAGTTACTAGGTACATATTCTTGAGAGGCCATGCTCCTCCCATATTTAATAAATTTGGTGCATTCTAGAAGCACATTTATTGAACGAAATTTCATAGTGTCCAGTTGATGGAGTTGCTGAAGATATTCCAAAAGTTCACGTTCGGTCCCTTGAAACATCATGTTTCATTATCACTGCACATTTCTTCTGGAAAACCTACACTGCCGCCAGTGTCGATAAACGTTAACGAATCCATCTGAATGGAGATCATTAACCATTTCAAAGTGAATTTTCCTGCGCTAACTGTTCCACGACAGGTGAATGCTCAAGCTTTTTGCATTTCTAACAATTTGCCCAACAACGAGCCTCATACAAATAATCCAAAACGTGAATCTCTAGTTGCTTGTGACAATTTCCTGACTATGATAATCGCAGGTGAGACCTCGTTAATCCTTAGCTCGACTTCTCTCTCAGTGTGCGTCCAGCGGTGAATTGGCGTGCGCGTGGTAGTACGCCCGACTCATTATCGAAAGGTCGTGAGTTCGATCCCAATCTCGACTAGATATTTCTCTCGAGAGAATTTATTTAGTTGAAGCTGGGATGATTCTGCAATGTTACATGGCTGAGAATAGCCATGATGTTCCCTAGATGGCTCGGAGAGTTATGAACATTGCTAATCCAGAATATGAGACAAATGACCAAAGTACGTATTAGCGGTATCCAAAAATTTCTTAGGAGTGCCTAAGAACAATAAATAACATGTACACAAGCCAAAGTTCATTTATACATTTTTAGATAGAGACATGCTTAACAGAGGCATCAAAAGCCTGCTGAAAATTAATATGTATATTGAACTTGTATTTGGAGCCACAACAAGAATTCAACGTACTGCCAGCAATGAGCCTGTAACTTCCCCAGAAAAAAAATTGAGGACACTACATTAATTTCAGATAAAGAAAGATTCGATCAGTTAAATGAGTATTTGGAATTTTGGTCTCTTTTTTGTGCAATATAAAAACAATTTCAGAAAAATCCGACCTTCTTGAAATTAACTGTAGACTCTAAATCAGATATAATGATTGTTTGTTGCCTTGTCTAAAATATTTTTGGCAACCTAGTCAATCAAAAAAGAGTTTTTTTAAAGTGGTTATTTCATAACGTAGGTATATATCTTGTTTTTTTTTCGTATGGGTTTGACTTGCAATTAGGGGACGCCGTACGAATCTCGCTCAGGGGCCGGTAGTGCTAAATCCGGCACTGGTCAGTATTATTAATCATTCTCCGTTATTTCTACAGGAAGCAGTATATGGCATTTCATTTGAAAAAAAAACATGTATTTGATACGTTATACCTTGTATGCTCTGGTAAACATTTTTATAAAACCGAATGCATTTCAAATGTTGAAAATTTGTTTCTAGTGTCATTTTCCAAAATTTCAAATTTTCATTTGTAATTTGAATACACCGCTGGTGTGTGACCCATACGTGTAGAATTTTCATACAAATATCACAGAATAGTAATTATTCTGTGCAAATATGTCAACCAATATGGCCAATTTAATTTAATTTTCATGGGCCGCTTTTTTATAAGACGGTGATATTCATGTTTCTGGTGGCGATACAGTTTTGCATACTCTACATCGTGACGATTCACAAAATTCACTTTAATTAATTCTTTTGACATACGTCAAAAGCATGTGTTTTGACATGCGTCAAAAGAATTGAAGCTATTTACAGTTTGACGCGAAAGTTTTAATGTGAATTTTGGGTTTTTATAACGAAAAAAGATTATTTTCCGAAACGTTGACCAATAAAGAAAGCTAAGTTTAGACATTCTTTTTTTTTCAATTTCTAGGCAAAATTTATGAATACGACAAGTTACTAATTGCACTCTTCAGAACTTTATATTACGGACCAACTTTTTTCAAATTGTGATAGGTTATATACCCCAAAAAATAATAAGAAATATTACTTCTTCATTCTATTTCTTAAATGATTCGTAATAGAAAATGTTTTCCCTCTGCAATAGTTGAGACCTGGGCACTATTCAATTGCCGGGACTTGCAATTAACAACTATTGAGATCTAGAAGATCGGAAAGCATTATATTTATAACATTGAGAAAGTTAACCACGAGAGAACGATATTTTCATGGATTATTCATTGAAATCAAGCCAAAGGTCTAGATAAACCCGTGTTACTTTCCATTTTAGGAGAATATTTCTGGGAACTCATCTGTAGCCATTGAAATATTTTTTATCAATAATATGCTGTATTTTTTATTTATTTCGTTATCACTTTCTGAGAATCTCAACCTTTCATCAAAAGTATCTCTGAGTTTAATTTGTGGCAGTTTATTAGTATTTTATTCTAAATTCTGAGTTTTGTTTCATGGTATACAAAAATAGATGTGTTAGGTGTAACGCAGGTAAATCCCCCCTCGCATATGAAATTTCATATGGAGGGGATTTTCATAATTCTTCAGGTATACATTCAGGTATAATCTAAATCTATAAATTTATCGAATAGTTGATTTAGTAAGTTGGTACTTTGGTATTTGTGGTCAGGTTCGCATTGTATCCTGATTTAAGTCCAGTGCAACAGTTATCTTTGTGCTTTAGTATTTGTGGTCAGGTTCGCATTGTATCCTGATTTAAGTCCAGTGCAACAGTTATCTTTGTGCTTTAGTATTTGTGGTCAGTTTCGTATTGTATCCTAATTGAAGTTTAGTGCAGCAGTTGGCTCAGTACTTTGGAATTTGTCGTCAGTTTTTCACCGAATTCTAATTGAAGTACAGTGCAACGGTGATACAGTCCTCAGTGGGTTCGCTTTTATATAGATATGGCTAGTTCAATAAGCAACTCGGATCTTGAATGCATACCGTACAAATTTCACATACTTAGTGGATTTTCATGGAAAGTCTTAGAAGGTGAGAATAATTCTAGAAATTATTTTTAAATATCATAAAATCATCTCTGTGGAAAAGTGTGTCTTCATTTCTGTTTTACTCATGAGGTTTTCATTCTACCTCTTACTTATTAGAATGATAGAATGTCACATGATATATAACTAATTCTCTACAATAAGGTCGTGAAACTCCTAGAACTAGAATCCGTGTATGAATATTGCTCCGATAATGCGGCCTTAATAACTCATATTTAGGTGGATACGTTTTTCTGTCGAGGATGGGCTCAAACGCATCCGAATTCGTTTTCGTGTAGTTTTGTCTCATACTTGCCATTCATGATATTCATAGAATTTTCTCAGTCGCTAAAAACATTTCTGGCAACACTGTGTTCATCTGCCACATTTATAACGCATGTAACTACCCATATGGGAATAAATTACAGATGTACCGATTTATTATTACTTCTATTTTGACTGTTCGTGGTTTTACTCTCTCACTTAAATAAAGTAATTTTGAAATTGCAAGATAAATTAACAATTCAACAGATTAACCAAAAGTGCTAAGCAGAATTTTTTGTTCCGTGGAAGTAATCGTTCCGAATACATTATTATAATGTATATAAGAGAGGTGTTGATAAATAATTTTTGCAACAGTTACAATGAAATGTGCATCAACTGAAATAACGCAGTTTTTCACTTCGCAAAATCATTGTTAATTAAAAGGGTTTCAGATAAACACTGGGAGTACGTCACGGTTCGTAAATACTGTCACATATCGCTAACTATGCTAAATTGTTTCATTTTGATTCCTTCACGTCGGCTTCGTTGTTTGCAATGAAAAATTTCAAAATCCCCGCCAATATTTTCCGTTCAGCTGAAATATAGGAGATGACAGCACTAGTCACTAGATTGCAATCTGCAATCGTGCGTTCCTTTTCTTATGAGATTATTAGTTTTGTGTGGCATGTGCTGTGAAACAGCCATTTTGATAGTTCTGTGAGAACTTGTGTTTAGTTTTGCAAAGTAATCTCACCGGTAAGGCTCTAATTAATCCATGTTGTGTAGGTTACCTGTGTTTCACGATTTTTATACGTATAGTGCATTTTTGGTGCTTCAATAATATCTTCAACAGCAAACATCTACGCCTGTTTTAAATTATCGGTAATTTGTGATACTTTGAAGACAACTCATTGTATGGAAGCCGAAAGTGAGCCACATGGTTTCCTAGTTATAATTTGTAAATAAATTAATAGAAGGTGTGGGCAGCTGATTTTTGTGCTTTCGAGTGATCTGCTATATGGACTATTTATGAAGATACTTCCCTTTCCTCGGCTATTGGCATTTCCATTACCCACCTCGTTTGGACTTACGAAATTAATTGTTTTGCTTTCTTTAGATGGTATCAGTATTGTGTTTTCCAATAAGATCGTTCAAACTTTATTTTCGCTTGAAAATTGAACTAGACAACAATATATCTGCTAGTGTTATATCACCTAACATTATCCTTTGAGTGGTGTCAAACAAAGTTTCATACGTCAAACGTTTTATAAGTGACTAGTAAAATTGTTGACACTCTTAAAAGTTTCTCAGAGATGTGTTTATTCAGTAGTGATTCCTGAGTGTTTAAACTGCCCATAAATATCGAATATTTTACGTTACATGAATGATATACTTCTGCAAATTGGAGTGTAAATGACCTTGACGCAAATATTACACCCATTTTAAAAAATAAGGTTAGGTTCCACTTCTGCTTCAACAATCACCATATTTAATACCATGCATGGTATGTACAACTCTTTTTTAAATCTTACAATTCACACACTTTTCCACTTATTTATATCTTTGGCATTTTTACAGATTTGACAATTTCATCACAATGATTAAGCAAATTTTGTTGGATGTATTGGAGAAATATGAGCCAAATCAATAAACAAAGTAGGTAGTGTGCCTTTCTTTTAAAGACATGCTGACTTGTGAATTCTTACTCTATGATGTGCAATTATTTTACAGTTTATGTATTTCCAAAGATTAATTTTGTTATTTACTGAGTGGTGCTTGAATACCAAAGCTTGCATAATCATTTTGAACATGAGTTTCTGCTACCCTCTTGTATTTACTCAATTTTTAGTTGGAATAGTTCCTTATGGGTTTTGCTTGTATAAATAATGTGTCAATAGGAAGGGAAATATTTACTTCATTCGAGTTTATGGTTAAGCGGATTTGGGGAATAGTATTTTTTAGAGAAGTTGAAGCAGGTTTTAAGATGTTACTGTGGATTTTATTTACTTATATTCATCTTTTTTATTTGAAATATTAGGAAATATTTCACATAAGTTTTAAGTGCATATGGGATCACATCATAATGTCTTGAACGTAACATCTAGGTATTTTAATGATTGAAAATAGATGAAATTACTGAATCTGACTTACAGGTCAATATTTTGATTTATTCTGAGTTTTCATTGATAGATTCCTCTTCATATATTAATGGAACATATTGATTTTGATCTTAATTTTCTGACATTTCCTTATTATTTAATTTGAATTGACTAGTGTTCCGTTTGTATATTGCTTATAGGGATATTTGTTTGTAGTTATCAACTGAGACACAAATATTATTCAAGTTTGTGGTTGAACTGATTTAACAATTCTTTCCTTTTTCATATTTTCTTTGCAATATACTGATAACAGTTCAACAAACAACTTTTTTTATTATGGTAAATGGATGAAGGCACTACTATATTATCTTCTGTGGAGATATGCTGCTTTATAACAGTTTTGAGCCAGATTAAAAACTCTCAGATGAAATCTTCAATCAAAATTGTCTAATTTCAAAACATTGATCTGTATGTTGATATCATCAATCAATCATATCTGGTTATGTGGATTCAAATAATATCAGCATCAATCTGAATATTTAATTTCTGCATTGAATAAAGTCTTATTATTAATTTTCATATGTGATTTACAATATTAGTTGTTTCCATGCAACAAAGTTGGTGACCTTCAATGATAATGAAGTTTTTATGATTTGAATGGTTTTCATATATTATGGTTTTCTGCTGATATAGCCCAAATTTTTCTTATAGGTGTGTTGGAGTGAGAAAATGTGTAGGTTAATTCACACAACACAACAGAAAATTGTAATTTTGAGGATAGGAATGCATTTTTTGAATATGAAAACTGGGATCCTTGATTTTGTTTGATATGTTCATCAAATATTTTCAAATAAGTGCAGCCTTTGCTACACAAGTCTTCTTCAATCTTTCAGGAATATTAATACATAATTGGGGGTATTAATACATAAACAAATGTGTTAATGTGTTCACAGTATTTTTTTTTCTTTTTTTTCTCTTGGTTGTTTTCTTCTGTAAACAACAGCAATCCCTAAACTGGAACATATAACAATTAAGTATAGAGACTTCCTTGTCAAACAATCCTTTTGAAAAGTTCTACTGAAAGGATGGAATAACATGTGTAATGGATATAGATAGAATAAAATTGATTTGAGTATTTCACCAATTTCTTTTTTGTTTTAGGTTACACGTACATGAATGGGGATCATGAGATAGTTTCCTCGGGGGTGGTGGACAGCGCCACCCCAGGAGCTGCCATGGATACCCATCCGGAGTGTTCTGCTATTAATGGGGTAGCAGAGGGAGCTGAGGGAACCAGCTCAATTCCCCCCTCAGCTCCCCAGGACGCTGCTTCCCAGTCAGCCTATTCCTTGCTGGAGCTAAAGCAGATGCTTTCACAGCAATTAGAATATTACTTCTCTAGGTGAGTCATTTTGAAAGTACTTCATATATATAGCTTTTCTTGTAATTGTTAATAGTTCTTCAAACCGAGTTTTTGATTGATGGTTCGTTTATATAACCCTGATGTAAAATATTCACACCTAACAACAATGATCAGACCTATGGTGGGTCGAAACGGCACTGTCTGATGTTGGGTTGCAAGTGCGTTTTGTTTGGCCAGTTTATTTGAAAATATTATATCATAAAATGCTAATGTTATTCTGAAATTTCTCAAATTATCAACAATTCCATTGAATATGTTGTACTTCCAATACAATTCCACTAGTGTACTCTTTTAATAAACCCTACTCTCAAATATGAGTAATCTCATATTGAGTTTGTACAACTTCCACCACTTTTCAAGTTGAAATATTTGCTCGAAAGAATGTCAAGTGGTATGGAAATTACCGGTGTTATTTGTTGGAAAGACAAAGTTGTTTGTTTTCTATTTCTCCACCATTAAAAAAAATATGAGAAGCAATTGAACAAGTCAGTACATATCAGATACATTCATATAACAAGAGTTATTGAAACAACTGAACAAAGTAGCAAAAATAAAAAATAATACAAAACATTTTTACTAATGTAGATAAGAAAAAAACTCATCGATTGTGTGAAGGCTAATTTCAAAAAGTAGTTGTTTTGTTTGAATACTTGCTCCTTGGTTATAATTTTGAAAAACTTCGGAAGTGCATTATATAATCTCAACCCTAAAATCTCAAACAAATTTAGACGTAGAGATACCTCAAAGTACATTATTGAGGATGATAGTGTTTTATGTGGGTAACATTTTATGTTATTACTCTTTAAAATATTACATTATGTAACGTTTCTATGAATAATTTCTGGTTCTATTCAATAATGAATGTTGGGAGTATAGAAAAATTATTTTCATTTAATTCAATGTTTATATGAAAGTAGCTGTTTTCGAAAGAGTTCATCTTTCTTCCTTTTTTTAAATTTTCCACATTTTTTGTTGAATGATAGATGAGTAGTACGACAAAATCTTGTTTTTCCAACAATCTAATCTTTCCTTAAAATGTCTCTTTTCCAATTCAAATGCTGAAGTCTGAACTGACTACCTAAATGACAAAGAATTCTATAAATCTTTGTGTGTGCCAGGTTACCTGGTTACCAGGTTTGAAAAGCCATTGGCTTGAATAATTCTGAGAATCAAAAATTGAATATTGGCAAAGGAGATGATTTTTCCCTGCCTATTCCTGGATTTAGTATACAGTGAAATGCTTTCTTGATTCTGAAGAATATTTATGAAAAGTTTTTTTCGAAAAAAGGAAAAACAATAATACATATCTATTTAAAAACAATATAATCAGCAAAGCATAAAAAAATACTTGAACTACTTGAACAAAAATCTAACAAAAATAATGATCAATACATTCACTGAAAGAACTATCAACATAAGTCCGTTTATACTGGCAAGTTTTTTGAAGTTTTCTTCCTCTTTTATTTTCGTTGTTTCTGTCACATATTTTATGTTATTAAGAGCTTACATAACATGGGTGAAACCGCGTATGGTTGGTAGCGTTTAAATAGTTTTTTACGATTCTTGTAGCAACAAAAGTTATTAGAAATCTAAAGAAACGAACTTTAAACGTTCAAGCCAGTCTCGGATATACCTACTTCGTAGGTTGAATGGATTGACACCTATCAGAAAACAACTACTCCCCTGGCTAATACCACGAAGGGCGTTGGATTATATCCGACAGGCTTCAGTGCAGGAATCTTCACAGAAAATTTCTTGCATATGCAATTGGCAATACAATACACACACACGGGCCATTCAACCTACTGTGTAGGTATATGCGAGACTGGCTTGAACGTTTAAAGTTCATTTCTTTAAATTTATTTACTGCCAGTTTTCAAGTATAGCCCACTGACTAACAAAAAAGTTATTAGTATATAATTCTAGATAGTGATGATTTTTCTTTATAACTCTTTTGAAACTAGGCATACTTGAAAATTAAAAAAGGGACTTTCATTAGTAACGAAAACTGTATAATAAGTGAGGCATTTTTATATCTATGACTAGTGTCTCTGTATATGTTGAATTTGAAAGAACATAGATTGTGTACTGAGAAAAACATATCTATATCAGGAAAATAAGGTTGTTTCAGATAGTAGCTAATTCTTTCCTCTCCCGTTTTTTTTTTTCATTTTTACTCCACGGAGAGTCTTATCCTTTCCAAATTTGAAGTGGTCAGTTTTTGAGATGAACATCTTTTTTGTTTTTTAATTACTTGTTGAAATTTAGAACTAACTATACATGAAAAGAAATACAGTACATTGTGCTAAGTAAAAAAGTATTAGAAAATAGTAAGTGTTAGAAAGGAATCTGTCTTATTCTTATAAAAAATATATTTGTAGAAGTTGAGAACAGATTATCAAGCAAATGCGTATATCCTGAACATCGCCTAAGGTAACATGTATAAAATGATTATTCTTGCACTAAAATTTATAACAAATTACTGAACAGAGTGAAAAAGTAGTCAGAATTGTATAAGACAGTAAGCCATAATATCTTGATAAACCTAGAACTCTGCTGTATAAGAGATCATTTAGCAGGTGTAAAATAGAATATTTAGTTTTTATGAAGTTATTCTTGCTTCATATTCAATCACAGTAATGTAAGCGAAATGATTTATTTATAAAGATTTTTTGTTGTTGTTGAGATGAACATTTGCAATGCGCATTTCAGTAAACGAGAAGAAAAAAATATGACACAAAACTTTCCATTCTTGAGTATACATAGAAAGGTTGTTCTGTAGAAAAAAAAACTTTTTGTGGTAATTATTGAAACTCAATATAGTATAATAAATCAATGTAAGTATTGGAGGGCAGACAAGGACTCAATGAAAAGTTGCTGTTTTGATAAAGCGGTTTTTTTCACGTCAAAACTACAAAATAACCTATAAATTATGATTTCACTGGAGCTCAGTGCAAATTATTTGAGATGATAAGGTGGTAAGAAATTGGAATTTGTTTTTCGAGTTTTTATGAAAACCCATTATTGAAGTATCGAGTCATTGATGAATATAAATAGTGATTGTACCACCACTGACCCTTGATATTCACCCCTATGTGTCATATACGTCAGGAACATTGCCTGTGTGAGCTTTATACTGACCTAATTTATAATTAACTTTCGTATTTTGAAACAGTTGATATCTCTAATCACTTGGATTACTTTACTGAATATCATCTAACAGGTGTTTTTCAAATATCCCCTTTTAAATCTAAGCTAGACCATCCCGTATAAGAGAAACAGCTCTCTTAATTGAGGAGAAAATAAATGGGTGGATCCATTTGATTCAGATGTTGATAGTATCGTTCTGTCTGAATTAAGTTAATCACTTTTAATATTACTGAGGCATATGTTACTGGTTAGAAGAAAATTGCAGAAAACATTACTTGGAATAGCTAAATCATCGATAGTTGACATTTATATCAGTCAGTCTAATATAGAGATGTATTTATTTGTTTATTTTACGTCAATTTTACAAAGTTTGGGGTTTTGTCAGCTTTTTCACATATTTTTTATATTTGAGGAATATGCTAGACTTGAATTCACTCTACTTGTTTTGAAACTATTCTGTTCATAATGACATGGTTACCAAATCCTTAACATTTCATAGATTCTCAAAAAAATTTGCTTAGTAGATACAATGGATTATATATCCTATTGAGGAGAAATTAAAAAATAATTGCAGAAAAGTAGGGTTCCATGTAGCATATAACTTAGCCAGTCAAAAGCGGCTCTTAATGATAAAGTGCTAAATGGTGTTGTCTTTATTGACATATTGAAGTCTCTTTATTTTTGTCTTGAATACCCTTTCATTTGGCCAAGCATGTAGTCCATTGTGGAATAGGAAATTGCTTGAAAGGTAATGAATATAATAGAAATAATTGGCCTTGTTATCACCATGAGATAAGTAGAGGTAGGTAAAATGGTATTTTATTCAAATTTATGCACACATGTCTAAAATGATTTGAGAGTTTTTGTGGTTTATGTTAAGCATGAATAATCAATAATTTCACACGTTGGTTATTCGAAATCATTTGTTTCCTATCAGATGTGAATTCTTCGGGTAATAAGTTGTTTCCGTTATGAAATCGAGTTCAGATTCTTGCCGTTTTAGGAACTAATAGAAACAATTTGACCAAAAACAAAGAGAAATCCGCGACAGTAAAAAGTCCAAACTCTAGGACAGAATTTTCAGTCCTAAAGTTAGAAACTCAAATTAGTATGTTGAAAGTCTCGATATTGTGCATTTCATTTCTACATTTTGATGAATTTTCATTATAGATCCAATCTAAAATGCTAAGGACGTACTCACTGGGATTTTGTAGAAATTGAATCATTATATTCGTGCCATATTAGTATTTTATGGCGTGGTCCAATGAGTTTCAAATACTTTGAATTCACCGTTAAAGATAATATTAATTGAATACCTCTAACACAAAATAGAGGTCACAAAAACTTCCACCTCAACATCACAGTGTCGCCAGGTGAGAGTGTGTTCTGTAAGGTGATCTGTAGTGATAGTATCATCAGGTGATTTTAGAAAGTAGCGTCTTCTCGCTTCTTCCAGAGTTTCATTAAACATTTCATTTTTCAACAACGCTCCAACTTTTTTTCTTCGCTAGCTGTGGCAGAATAATATTTGATATATACCTTATAGTTGCTAAAAGAATGAGATGACTGCTCGTTGATACACACTTTTTGAACAACCGTCGTATATCAGTGATAAAATTGAATGATTTCTTAAAGCTACGTTCTCTAAGGAGATATTATATAAGATCCTAGTGTCTGAGCAGATATAATATAAAAAAAAAACGTTTTATACAGGCGTTTTCTGTATATTTTCAGTTGATTTGACACTAAAATTGCAAGATATACTCACTAAGATAATATATACGATTGATAAGTTATTATTGCCAGTTTAGCTTGCCCTATTTTTCTTT